TGTTACACATTAACGCAGGAGTCCTAAGGCAAGCTCAGCGGGAACAGAAATCTCGCGTAGAGCATAAGGGTAAAAGCTTGCTCGATACACGATCTTCAGTACCGATCCTCGGTGTGAAAGCATGGCCTAACGATCCTTTGGTCTCGCTTCATGTTCAAGGGATGAAGCCGGAGGTGACAGAAAAATTACCACAGGGATAACTGGCTTGTGGCAGCCAAGCGTTCATAGCGACGTTGCTTTTTGATCCTTCGATGTCGGCTCTTCCTAACCTAGACAAGCAGAATTGTCTAAGGGTTGGATTGTTCACCCACTAACAGGGAACGTGAGCTGGGTTTAGACCGTCGTGAGACAGGTTGGTTTTACCCTACTGATGGAGAGAGAGCCCATCGGGCCAGCGCATTCCGACAGCAATACGGGGTAGTACGAGAGGAACTCCCGTTTCTAGTCCCTGGTATCTACGGTTGTTCGATCGGACAGTGCCGTGATGCTACCACTGGATGGATTATGGCTGAACGCCTCTAAGCCAGAACCCAGTCTAGAGGAATGCGTGAGTTACTCAGGGCACATCGGATTTATCGGGCCACGAATAGCTTCGGCGAACGGCAACTTCCAAATTCACATCCAGATCCCGTGTCTCCAACCGGGTCTATACGAGTCCGAATGGACCGGCGGGCGTAACGCACTGAGGAGCCTTGTTGTTCCGAGGGTTTGAGCCTTATGGCCGGTTCCTACGGTTATCTCCTGGTTCGGCTCCACTCGAAAGAGTGGGGTTGGATCAGGAGAAACCCGGATGTGAATTTGGAAAAAAGTGATGAATCCACCCAGAGTCTCTCGATGTTGGTCAATTTGAATGGAATGGAATGAATGGTTGAATCATCATATTTAAGGCAAATCGAAAGACGGATCTCAAGCGGAATCTCTCTTGATCTCCGGCCGCACCTTACCAAACCTGCCTCTTTTTTTCTCTCCACGTCGTATGATTCCCTGAGATGTTCGCTTCGGCTTGAGCACTCGGGATGATGACACAGGAGAGGGATAGGGGGTCCGGGGAGGTAGGGTCCCGCCCGAGAATCAGGGGAGACAAGCTTTGAGATTTCGTCGCGAGGTGACCCCTCGCCCGCTAAAATGCCCTCTTTCAGGCCCCCACCCCCTCGCCATTTTTTTTCGCGTCAAAGTTCCTGTTCTGGCCCTCGGCTCCCTTTGTAAAAAGGTTGAGCTCTGGGCCGGTGCGGGAGCTTCCCGGCGCGGAGAAGATTGGAGATGGAGGTGTTGTGCTCAGGAGCAAGGGTATGAGGTGGGCGCGTTGTTGCCAGGTGACTCTCGTGCGCTGCTCTCTCTCCTCTCTCTCTTCTCCCTCTCTCCTCTCTCCTCTCTCTCCTACAGGCAACTGTAGGGAGGGGGGGAGGGAAGGGGGGGGGGAGGGGGGGGGGAGGGACGCGTGCGCGTCGCCGACCCCCCCAGTTCGGGAAAAGGGGTCATGCCCAATATAGGAAAGGGGGTCCTCCCCTCCTGGAAGCTCTTGAGCTCCAGGAGGACGGAAGGATCACTACCTCTCCTGTTGGTAATATGATGGTCAACCACGCATGAAATGAAAATCAAAGACTGGCAAATGAAAGAGACTGGTATTCATAAGGCAAGAACGCTAATCACTAGAGTGAGTCAATCACATTCTGAATCGGAGCAGCACTCCGCTCTAGTGACATAGCTAACTAATCTGGCATGACCTCGCCTCGATAATCTCAAATGGCGGTGTTAACATTCCACGGAAAGAATCGTTCGCGATTCAAGAAGAGGGATGCCGATTAGAATGAGTATGAATGACATACCACGTGCTCGAAAGACATGGAGGGAATGCAAAATGAATCGGTCATGTGCCAATGAAAATGCAAAAGTCAAGACCGTTCCTCTCCCATGAACTCGTTCCAGATCCGAGTTAGCATACTCGTATGCGCTCGATCAAATGGTCAAGGTAATCGGGAAGACACGATGGTGAAATACAAAAAAGGCAATCGAGGAAAGCTATCGGTCGTAGAGATACGATCGAGGACTGCCCCTTTTGAAAGCTGAAGAATGAATAGAATGATCATGCATCAATCTAGGCTTGACACGATACAATCTCTGGTATCGGGGAATCTTTGATTCGTCAGATTTTCCTCGGTCCAGTCTGGTTTGAGTGACAAGAAACCTGGTTGATCCTGCCAGTAGTCATATGCTTGTTTCAAGGATTAAGCCATGCAAGTCTCAGAGTAAATGGATTAACAGTGGGTCTGCAGACGGCTCATTAAATCGGTGGCAATCTACGCGGGGAAGGTGCCTTTTGGGCCCAGTTGGATAACAACGGTAACTCCATTGCTAATACATGTCCGAAGAATCCAACTCGATTCAACCCCGTGGCCTTAAAACCGCGAGGTCGAGGTGGATACAATTGACCGAGATAAGAACCAACGCTAGCAATAGCAGCAGCGGTGTGTGGATGAAACAGGTCAATCGAGTGATAGCACACGACTTCAAGTCGGTGCAAGCCCGCAAGAGCTTCTGCCCTATCAGCTTTTGACGGTAGTGTAGTGGACTACCGTGGCTGTAACGGGTAACGGGGAATTAGGGTTCGATTCCGGAGAGGGAGCCTGAGAAACGGCTACCACATCTAAGGATGGCAGCAGGTACGCAAATTGCCCAATAGCAACACTGCTGAGGCAGCGAAGAGAAATAGCCTCGACACGTACTTAGTACGTTAGAAGCAATGGATGATATCTAAACCTGTCAATGAACACAATTGGTGGACAAGTCTGGTGCCAGCACCCGCGGTAATTCCAGCACCAATAGCGTATATTAATGCTGCTGCTGTTAAAAAGCTCGTAGTTGGATCCAGAGCTCAGGTTGCAAGGTGGCCCAGTTTGCTGGGCATCAGCGTACTGCTGGTATTCAGAAGGCTGGGATCAACCCCTCGCATCAAGACCTGTGCTCTATGAACGGTGGTAATGGTGCCTTGCAAGTAATCTCTTCATCGGGATGAAAGCGCTTACGCGTACACCATACGCATACGGGTCGACCACCGATGTTACTGTGAACAAACCAGCGTGCCCAAAGCAGGCGTTCGCCGTGAATGATAAAGCATGGAATAACAAGGGATCGATTCTCTCGACTCTTTTTGTTGGTCTCTTAACCCGAGAAGGAATAATCAAAACGAAGTTCTTAGCGGTTCTCTTTTGAGTTTCGTCTAAGGCCTCGTTGCGCGGGATCAATAGGGACTGCCGGGGTCGTACGTACTCCTACGTCAGAGGTGAAATTCTTAGATCGTAGGAAGACGAACTTCTGCGAAAGCATTCGACAAGAATGTCTTCATTAATCAAGAACGAGAGCGTGGGGATCCAAGATGATCAGATACCGTCGTAGTCCACTGCTGTAAACGATGCCGTCTCAGGATCGAGGGAAGTCATTTTGGCTCCCACGGCACTCCCCGAACGAGAAATCAAAGATTATGGGTTCAGGGGGGAGTACATTCGCAAGGCTGAAACTTAAAGGAATTGACGGAATGACACCACCAGGCGTGGAGTATGCGGCTTAATTTGACTCAACACGGGGAATTTTACTAGGTCAGGACGATCTCAAGGATTGACAGATTGAGAGCTCTTTCTCGATGAATTGTGTGGTGGTGCATGGCCGCTCCTGGTTGGTGGAGTGATTTGTCAGGTTGATTCCGTTAACGAACGAGATCTCGACCCTTAAATAGGTGGGCGTGTCGTTGTAGGGGGTGTCTTTTGGCATCGGCGGCTTGCTGCTTACCCGAGACGCGCACTACTTCTTACTGGGGGGGGCTAATTACTATTGAACCGTATATTACAATTGAACTGTATATTACAATTGAACTTTTTTTTTGGGAAATCGGCGCACTCCAACCGTATATTACAATTGAACTGTTTGTGTGGTCACTGTTACACTACGATTGTGCACAAGGCCTGGCATTTCTGCTGGCTTTTTTTCTGTTTTGACTCATGAATCATCAATGGCATGATAGACCACTGCAGTGAAAAGAATTATTTGAGGAACAATACGAAATTTGTAACAAGCATGGGGCTGCCAAAAGTTTTGGGCATGATCGTTTCGCTGTTTCCGTTGCTGTTGGCGTGGCCCGCACGCGCAAATTATGCCGCTATGTCGGCCGACGGTTGGGACGAGAATGCCTGGTTATCCACCAGGTTCGTCAACGGAACACCGGACCAGACAAGCGGACAGGAGGGCGCAGGCGACGACCGGCACGACAGGTCAACCAACGACGACAACTGGAAGCCAAGGCCGGACAGCTATGATCCAGCGTCTCGGTGGCCGGTCCGTCTGCATCCGACGCTCTCTGTGAAAAAGAAGGGCAGAAGGACTCTCAGTCGGTGGGTCCCCTGGGTGCTGATAGTTGTGGCACTCGTGTCAGTCGTGAAGCAGCTGTTCGTCCCCACTGGCCACGAAAGGTTGACGCCGCGCGAACAGAGAGGTGGTGGTGTGGGCACTGCAGAGTTCTTGACGTCATCGGAAGTTGGCAAACTGTTGACAACTCATCCCTTTTTCCGTTTGCGTCCGCCGACAGCCCTAAGTTGAGAGCGACCGACGACATTTACACGAAAGACGTGCCCAGTGGTCGGAGGAGACATCGCGATGTAATCCGGAGGCCGCGGGTTCCTTACCTGGCACCAGGCCGGACCAAGACAACCAAGTTACCAGCCAATTTCTACCAGGCAAACTGCACTTCAATTGTAATATACTAGTGTTTTTGGGGGGGGTCTGAGACCCCCCAATTCCACGCCGTGTATCGTTATATTACAATTGAACTCAATTGTAATTGGCCCCCCCCTGTAAGGGGACTGCGCGCGACTTATAGCGCGCGGAAGAGCGAGCCAATAGCAGGTCTGTGATGCTCCTAAATGTCCTAGGCTGCACGCGCACTACACTGACGCATTAAACGAGTTTGAGAGCCTTCCGGCTACCTATCTTGAAGAGGATGGGAAATCTTTTGAACTTGCGTCGTGATGAGGATCGATGATTGCAATTATTCTCCTTGAATGAGGAATGCCTAGTAGGCGCAAGTCATCAGCTTGCACTGATTACGTCCCTGCCATTTGTACACACCGCCCGTCGTTGCTACCGATTGGCTGTGGGATAGAGCTTGGGAGAGGGAAGCTCGTTCTTGGCAACAAGTTCAGCGCCCGAATCCAAGCAATGTTTCTCAGCTAGAGGAAGCAAAAGTCGTAACAAGGTTGCTGTAGGTGAACCTGCAGCAGGATCATTACCAAAGATTTCAATTCTGAATGGAATGAGGAAACGACTTTCAAACAGATTGGAAACCGAGGATTCAAACATGGTCATGAAGGAAATCGAAAATCCCGAGCAATCGGAAAGGCAAAACAACTGTTCCCCTCGGCTCAACTGCGGTTGATCGAGGGTGACATCAATTGCACTTATCGGTGGATGTCTTGGCTCTGGGAACGATGAAGACCGCGGCCAGACGCGATAGTCAATGGGAATTGCAGAAGCATGAGACTCATCAGGTCGTCGAACGCATTAGCGGGCTGGGTTCGCCCATGCCCATCAGCAGTTGAGTGTCGCTTGAAAATCTAATCTCTCAGACTGCGTTCGACTCTTGATTCGATGGTGATTGGCTTGCTGATTATTGTTGATCGAGTTGAATCGGTTTGAATCGAGAATGTGGCGGTGCAAAGATCATTCAACCCGATCGATGCTCTGTTTGAAATCCTGGGTCCGAGAACGAGCA